ATAAATTTTTTTGTATACTACCTTGTACTAATCTTAAGAGATCCTGAAATTTTTGGATCTGTGTTTTTTGTTTTTTCAAAAATATGAATTTTTGAAATTTGTTGAAAGAAAAAATTTTTCTTAAAATTATTTTTTTTCTCATCGTTATGCCACTAAATGACATTTTAATTGTTCAGAATATCGAAATTACGCGATTTACCAAACTCAATTGAGATAAAAATAAAAAAAAAATTTTGGAGAAAAATTTTTTTTTTTAAGAAATTTCAAAAATTCATATTTTTGAGAAAACAAAAAACACAGTTCCAAAAATTTCAGGATTTCTTAAGATTGGTACAAGGTAGTATATAAAAAAATTTGAGCAAAAAATTTATTGTCGACCGTCATTTTTTACGATTTTCAAAAATTCAAAATTTGACAAATTTGGCATTTTTCAAAATTTTTTCCCAAAATATTTTTTTTTTCAATAGCTCCAAGTGTCCCCTTTCAAACAAATGAAAGATCATTCCTGTATCTATACTAGCGTTCGAGATATTACAAAAACAAAATTGAAAAACTGGAAAAATCGCGAAATTTTGAGTTTGCATATCTTTTGAAAAAAATTTTTTTATTTTTTTTCCTTTGGCAGAACTTCGTTATATGATAAAAGAAAACTTCTGACCAAAATTCGTCCAAATCGAAAGGGGTCGATTCCAACTATTGGTCGATTTGACATAGAATGACCCTACTATAATTAATTATAATATATTGTGATAATATAATTATTTTAAGAGAAATGAATTTTTGAATAACTAAACAAATAGAACAAAAAAGTGAAATATATTATTTATATTAATTTTAAGCTATTCTCATTCCAACCATTGATTCCATCCATACAGTTTCAAAAATTTAATTGTTTTTTAATTTATAATCTATTGTGACAATTGATAATAATTAAAATTATTTAATTTTTTGAATTTACAGTTTTCTATATCAATCAAAATTTTTAGAAGTTGAAAAAAAAGATAATTATTTCAATTATTTGTGGTAGTTATTTATTTAAAATCATCAATTTGCTACACAAAAGCGGGCACAAATTAATTATCTCTCGTATTTTGAAAATTAAAAATTTTTTTATCGATAAAGTATTACAATCGTAGCACAAAATATTGTTATCAACTAACAGACATATTGCAAAATAGACATAGTATTCAACTAATTATTACAACTACAATGTTTATTTTAAGAAAGCAATTTTTTCCAAAACCATCAGCAAGCAGGAAAATCCTTAATCGGTTTCCCAACAGTTTGTTAGCTTTACACCATATATAGCGTCATCAGTTATCATTTTGATAGCAGGTCTTAATACGGTATTTTCTGATTCAAATCTAATAGCCTCCGATGGTTCAATCTCTCGAATGTGACGCGAATTAAATGCACCCATAACATCTTCAAAATATTGAACAATTATGCCAGTAATTATGATATTATTGTGTCGAAATTGTAAAATGTTTTTTATCAAACCAAACTTCTTATTATCTTCATTGAAGATAAAATAGTCACAAAATTGACGTATTTCAACTCCATCTTCTGGTTCAGGGCAAAATTTAATCCCATTTACTTGCATTTTTTTGTAAATACATACTATGTCAGGATTGTAACCAGCTTGTAGCAATGCTTCACTCTCCGATTCTAAAACGTTTCGAGTGTAAGATTTTCCTTGCACAACATACGCATCTTGAATTTTAGTATTATCAATTCCAACAATAATATTTAATTTTTTTTTTAAAAACTCTTTGGTTTCCTTGGATATAGAATTTTCAAACACTGCGTCATTTAAAAATTGCAACATCAAAAAACGAGTCGCTATTTGGTCAGGCCGACCGTTAGCGCTACTTACATGATCCATTATTCTCCTATTCCACGCTTCAAATACGAAGGCATTATGTGCCCAGAATGGCCCCCAGTTACGTATCGTTTCTATCAGGTGTGTAAGCAAATGAACATTTGAAGTCATTCTTGAAACTCCAAAAAACTTCTCGAAGAGTTGCACATACCTCACCAGTAAATCTTCTGCACGATCAAGCTGTGACAATGTAATCGAATCGCTATTCAAGTAATGAATCGCTTCGGATAGCATGGCCAAATGATTCACATATTCTTCTTGTAGTACGTATTTCAGGCAGACAGGAGCATATTCCAGCCAGTTACGCCGCTCCGAAGCTTTTCACTGTAAATAAGTTTTGATGGATCTCGGTTTTCGGGATCGACGAGAAGGAGGTTTGATCATGAAGAGATAATAATCAATTGCTTTCAACGTATTGGGATCTCCAATGTAGTAAGGTTCTTAAGTTGATGTCATAAGTATAGTACTATGTAGTTGTACGACCCCTAAGAACACTGCGTGCATCGTTTCTACCACAACACCTCGCCGTATATTAAATAATGGCAATGATATTAATGGAGAAATGCCTTTAATTCCATTTATTTTTATACATTCCTTAAAAGCATACTTCGTATCGGCTCTGATTTGAGAATCGAGACGTAATTCACCAAAACTTTGTTCAAGAGGGTAAACCAGTTTTCCCTGCTTTAAAGTTTTTCCTGGTACATAACAATACAGACAACCAAAGTAACCATTGAACCGAGTCATGCACGTAACATCTGATCTGGCTGGAGAATCCAGGCTACTTGTGACAACGATCATTCTTGAAGTAACTTCAGTGGTGTCGGTTGGATTCCAAGTGATTCCTGTTTTGAAAAGTTTCTTCATCTCAACAATAAATGGTCGCAAAAAATTACTCATTGGTGGGTGATGATCATCAACGTAGATTCCAGCAAGAAGTATATATTTCTTGCGCATATGTGGTGGAAGTTCATTTATTTGGATAAAAATTGGCCATGCACTTGTTCTAGAAGATTCCGAAACACTACAACCATCTGTGTTAAAGGTGAAAGAAAAATTGTGCCAATTTTCTAGAAACTTCCCAGGCTTACATAGGTCTGGATAATTTTGTCCATCGTATATGTCTTCAAGAGAGTCAATGTTTTTTTTCTTTCTATGAAACCTATATTGTAATGCCTCAGCTATATTAGGTTTTTTTAATAGTTGCTTGATTTGAGAAGTTAACCCAATGTAGAGAAAGTGACCTAAATGATTCTCTTTCTGCTTAGGACCACATTTCTTACAAGAACATTGGATTTTAAGTAGCTTCGTTTTTTTATCTTTTAGACCTAAGTACTCTGTACATGATTTACAATAATAACGCCGAGATTTTTCCAAGTTTTTGCGACCTAACATTTTCCATAGTGACGTTTTATCTGCTGGCAATAAATTAGCATTATGGAAGGAATTAATCCACTGGAAAATATCAATTGTAGCTTCATAAGACAGATGGTTTTTAACTGAAATACCAAGAATAGAAAGCAATTGATCTAGAACTTTGATACTTTTTTTTGGCAATAACGGAAGATTTGCAACAAGATCATGATTTATATCAAAGTACGGATGATGATGATGATGATGATGATGATGATCATCATCTTCTTCATCATTAACTTCATCAATATCATCCTTTTCAAAATTGTCATTATCATTACGAATAATATCAACATAGCTAATATCATTAATTTCACAATACACATCAACATATTCATCATTATTATTATCACGTTCAATATGAATGTATTCATCATTATTATTATGACTTACATGAACGTAGTCGTCATCATTGTTATCATCACCCATGTAATTAATGTTTCCATAGTCCGCATTATCATGAGTAACAACAGCACTATTATTACTATCAAGAGAAATAGTGCTCACATTATCACAATTTTCTATTCCATCGTGATCCTCATTGTCAATGTTATCTTTTTTTATTGTCATGTGTGTCATTATTGTTTGTAGCCTTTTCAATCTGCGTATTATCACAAAAATCAGAATTAATTTTTATTTTTACGAGGGAATCATTTTCCTCATATAAATTTAATCCATTGTAATTCAAATCTTTTGAAAGAAAGTCTTTACGGCTGAACGATGGCTGCAACAAAAAAATATCAATATAAATATAAATAAAAAAACGCCATTCGGCCACACCCGAAATGGAAAATAGATTTCACTGATTGAAATTCTTGATAGAATGACGTACATAAGTCGGTTGTACTACTTATTGCCTGAAAATGGTTCAGTTGCACTCTTAACTTTGATAAAATAACTAAAAATGGTCAAAATGTCAATGCTATATACGTCAAATTAACGGTAATTTCATGAGCTATCACATAAATTTTTCAAAAATTAGCTATCTCTCTTCAATCAGAAGTTATACATCAATGAAGTGGCCAAAAACGTGATTTTCACTATTTTGAAAATTTTAAATGGTCGCCATTTCCAAACTAATTGACGAATTTCGCTCATTTTAGGGCTCATGCAAGCTTATTGTCCAAGGAATCTAAATATACTAAATTTCGTTAGGATCTGTTAAGAATTCTCGATAATATAACATTCATAAGTCGGTTGTACTACACATTGCCTGAAAATGGTTCAGTTGCACTCTTAACTTTGATAAAATAACTAAAAATCGTCAAAATGTCAATGTTATATACGTCAAATTAAAGGTAATTTCATGAGCTATCACAAAAATTCTTCAAAAATTAGCTATCTCTGTTCAATCAAAAGTTATACATCAATGAAGTGGCCAAAAAACGTGATTTTCACTATTTTGAAAATTTAAATGGCCGCCATTTCTAAACTAATTGATCGATTTTGCCCATCTTCGAACTCGTTCAAGGTAATTACCTAAAGAATACGTGTACCGAGTTTCATCTAAATCCGTTGAGAACTGTAGACGCTATCGTGTTCACAAGCCGCGTTATACTACATATATATATATAAACTTTTGAACCAATGCTAATTTTGAGCTTTACTCGACTATATAAGAGATAAAATGACAAAATTCCGTGTGAATTCCGACACAAGGTCCAATGCAATAGATAGATTTCTACGAAATCTACCTAAAAGGGGCAACCAAGGGAAACATAACATTCCGTTACAATAGTAAGATATTAAAAGTAAACAGAACGATGTTCAAAGTCTAAAGAAATAAATGAACTTGACTCTTGAATTTTCTCGACCAACTCTGATTAAGAAATCTAATTTGAAATGATTTAAAATGATTTGAAATGATTCAAATGCATCGGACTTGAATACTACATAGATATTCAATTAACATGAAGGTAATCATTTCAAATCATTTTTCTGAATCATGGAATAAACATTTATAAAAATTTGTTCATTTTCATCTAAACACAATATTAAATACCATAAATAATATAAATAATCAGCCGTCACACTTCGTCACCATGTAGATTTAGCTTGAAAGAATGATGAGATGTACATTAGCTTATCGATGTAGGTGTAAGGGTTATTTATCGGTCTGGCAAACACGCAGCTCGGGTTCGAATCTCGGTGAATAATTATCACATTATTACTTTTTCCCGCTTCACAGCATTATTTATATTTGTTAAGTATATATATAAAGTATTAACGACATCTTTAACAAAACTAAACATACAATATAATTTTAAATCGTACTTTTT